TGGCTTGGTTTTGGTCGAGGATCCTGTTGTCCCTGCCCGTGGGCCTGTTAGGGGTTGGCTTGGGTTTGGTCTGCTCCCTGGCTGCCCTTGCCCGCGAGCTCGTTGGTGGTGACTGCCTTCATCCCTTAGTTGTGGTCACCTGATTTGGTTATTTGTTTGTTGCTGCCCCTACCCGAGAGCATTTAAGATGGTTCCTTTTTGTGTCAGCTGAGTAGCCTTTTTTGTTAGCTCTACCCGAAAGCACCTATTTGAGGTCTTTGTGTTGGGTTGGTTCCCTGAGCGCTGATTTGTTTGTTCTCCTTGCTGTTCCTAGCCATGGGCACCTGGTTGGGTTCCTTTGTGTTGTGTTGGACTCATACCTCATGGAAGCTTTAATTTGGAGTGGAATTGGAATGCTTTAATCCTTATGCTTGGAAGAATTCAAATGCCCATTTTCGAGGAATAATTTGTTAAATGTTTGGAGATGTTTCAAGGCTCATGGAAGCTTTACTTGTGTTTCTCTGTTTCCCGTTATTTCCCCCTGTTTGAAAGGCATGCTGAGAGAAAATGCTGGGGGCTTATTTCTGTTTCCTTACTTCCTGTTACTCTCCTATTCAAACTACATGTTGGATGACATTAACATGTTTAATTTTCTTATTACAAGCCTTAAAAAAAAACAGAGAAAGAAAAAGAGGTACCTTTGGTTGTCTTTCTTGTTCGAAACACACGTTGGATGGAGAATCAGTCTTTTAAAGCTTTTGGGGCTTGTTTTGATAGCTCAGTTTTATTTCCTAGCTACCCCCTTTTCTTCGAAGCATGTGTTGCATGAAAAATTTAGTTTTTAAAGCCCCTGTAATTCGTTTTGGTGGCTCAGTTTTGCTCCTTATGCTGCTTCTCTTGTTCGAATACATGTTGGAATCTGTTTTGTGTTTTGAGCAGTTGATTTTGGGGCTTGGTTTTACTTCCTGTTATTCCACCTATTCGAATATATGTTGGAGCTCGTTTTAATGCTTTAAGAAGTTGGCTTTGTGGTTCGATTTTGCTCCTTAAGCATGCTGCCCCTGTTCGAATATATGCTGGAATCTGTCTGGTGTCTTGAGCAGTCAGTTTTGGGGCTTGGTTTTCCTTGTTTTGGGGCCCTGTGTTGCTCCTCCTGGCCGTGAGTCTTCCTGTTTGTGGTTCTCTTTGTATCGGGGCTGGTGGCCTCCCCTTTGCTGCTCCTGTCCGAGAGCATCTGCTTGCGGTTTGTCTTTTTGTGTTGGGACTGGTGGCTTCCCCTCATTTCTCCTGGCCGTAAGCCCTTGCCGATGGATTTTTGTGTTGGGGACTTTGGCTTTCCTGCTGTCTTTGTCTGTGAGTATGTTGGATGTTGGCTTGGATGTTAATTGGTGGCTCCCCTTTATTTGTCGTCCTTACCTGTGAATATGTTGGGTGTACTGCCTGGGCCTGATTTGCCCTCTTTGTTGTCCCTACCTGTGAGCTTTTTGGGTGTTTGTTTGGGGCTCAGTTGTCCCTCTGTGATGTCCCTGCCCGTGAGCCTGTTAGGGGTTGGCTTAAGTTTGGTCTGCTCCCTGGCTGCCTTGCTCCCTGGCTGCCCTTGCCCGCGAGCTCGTTGCTGGTGACTGCCTTCGCCCCTAGTTGTGGTCACCTGATTTGGTTATTTGTTTCTTGCTGCTCCTACCCGAGAGCATCTAGATGGTTCCTTTTTGCGTGAGTCGGGTGGCCTTTTTTGTTAGCCCTACCCGAGAGCACCTATTTGAAGGCCTTTGTGTTGGGTTGGTTCCCCGAGCGCTGATTTGTTTGGTCGTTGTTCCTAGCCGTGGGCACCTGTCTGGGTTCCTTTGTGTTGCGTTGGACTCATATCTGCATCAACCTTAGTTTCGTTCATATCAATGAAATTTGATTTTTAATTGATTGATTAAATAGTGTCCTCAATGTTGTCCCGAGACAACACCATTACCCCCTGATCACCTTCCACAAGTCACATGTGAAAGTAGTCACATGCTCCGAGATCAAATTTCTCTTCAGAATTGGAGCATTTATACTATTTCATCTGACAACTTGATATTCATATCACCCTTTTCCCAAAATATTGCAAGTCTTATTGTCTCCCAAATAAATTTTTCCTGTATTACTCCGAGT